ATGCTAGTGGCCAATCGATTTTCCTGTCATTACTTTTCAGCCCCTGAGTTTTGAAAGCAAGAAAAGCTACACCTTAAAGGTGGAAGGAGCCAATCCTCACCTGGAGATGCGCTTTCTGAACCTGGGCCCATTTCAGGACACGACGACAGTGCACATCAGTGTGGAAGATGTGGATGAGCCCCCTGTGTTTGAACCCGGCTTTTACTTTGTGGAGGTGCCTGAGGATGTGGCGATTGGAACGACCATACAGATCATTTCTGCCAAGGACCCAGATGTGACCAACAACTCAATCAGGTTTTCCCACAGATTTCACCTTTTCCTTATTCCCCGGAATCTTCCTTCCCTTCTATGTAATTTTCTTGCACTTTTCCCTTTGCTTCTCCCTTCTCTATCCCATCTCCGGAGACTCTCCTCTTTCTTTGAGATTTTTTCTGTTTAAATAACATGCCCTTGTCATGGTATTTAGAAATGTGTCATTATTTAGAGAAGTGCCATTATGTCTACAACTCATTTTCAATTGGTTCAGCCACATGTATGTACACACACACACACACAGTCCTTAGTTTTCGATCGTGGTCCTATGCACATTTGGGCTTGGATAATTCTGTGCTGTTGTGGTGCGTTGTCCTGTACATTGGCCAATGTTTAGCAGCATCTCTTTTATCCATGAAATGCCAGTAGCGCCCCCTGGGTGGCAACAACATAAAATGTCCCTGGATACCACCAAATGTCCCCTGGGAGGTGGTACAAAATCACCCCTGGTTGAGAATCACCAATTCAGATAAAGCTTAGTCAGACGCATAGATATCAAAATATTATAAACTGTTGATTCTTAGTGGTGAACATAAAGGTAATCACTGCACATTCTTCCAACTTCTATGAACCTCTGACATTTTTTTACTTTTAAAAAATGGAGAAAATAACATGTACCATATATATTTCCATACACTATGGAAAGAACAGACATAGAAACTCTTCCTGTTGTCAGTGGCTTCGATGCCATGCAGACTGGCCAGACAGGGCTTTGTACTGCAATCCTGCATATCTGTTTCTCCAAGGTATGTTTTGAAATTAAAGATTCCAACCAAGGTGCTGCCCCTCAAAAAGGGAATTGCTCTTACAATCATGGCCATTTTCCATCAATTCTGGAACCAAAGTGCAAATAGCTGGTGGACAGGTTGACACCCCAACCTTCCAGAACAACTGCCAAGCCTCTGAAGCCTGACACAAAAGATCAGGATTTCAAGGCTGTTTGAGGCCATCTGGCACATTAATTGCTGAAAGCCACACAGTAAAATGAATCTGGGGCTTTAGTGCAGATAATACATTTTAAAACACACCCCAATTTGTCAAATGCCTTTTCTGTCAGCTGGCTCCTTCTCTCACCTGATGCTATTTTGTATTTAATGAAAATGTGCTTTTATAGTTTAACAAGAATGGCTCTCTCCAGAGAATAACTGTCCTAGGGAGAAATCTGCTTCCTCTAACCCACTAGTAAACACTTTCATATGTTCAGGCATTAAAATGGCTAAAATGATTTTGTTTGAATTCTGACATTTTATTTTTTCCAAGGCAACTAATCTTTCTATCATGAGTTATAACAGCTTTACAGAAGTGATATTTCAACCTTAAGCTCTGTAAATGTAAAAGAGAATGGGGAGAAATTAGTGAAACTATATTATCCCCAAAATAATCACAACAAAAATGAAGCAGATTCTACTGTAAATTTATATTTTCATAAGCCAAGAATATATACCTTCTGATCTATATTA